TATCTAAAGGCTAGTTTGGCAAAATCTCTAACCTCAGAATCATGCGCCATCATTATTGCGTATTATTGTTTTTTTTATATTGTGTATGTATTTGGAGATTGCTATATTGCAATGTGAAGTCAGTGTTATATTTAGGAATTGTTGCATTTATTACTATTTAGTAGTTTGTAAAGCTTTTGCAATCACTTTGTTAATTGCTGGCTCCCTACATGAGTATGTCTGCACTTCTTAAAAAATATGTATTTTCCATTACCTTTTGTCTTTGATTAAGGTCTCTGTATGAAACGTGTTAGTTTGCGGTGTTTCAGACACAATGTTTTTGTCTTACCTGTCTTAAGCATTTTCATCCTGGAAAAAAGCATTTTTTTAGTTCTCTATTTGGACATTGCCCATTTGGATTATTTGTTTTTATACTGGGGAGATGGCACACACAAATCATTTTTTATGCTAAAAGTACCATGGCTACATTTCCCAGTAATAAGGCAAATCATTTTGCAATTGTTTGCCTTCTTACTTGGACCTTCCAGGCACTGTGTCTCTTGTCTGGCTTGCTGAGACTTGCAATCGGGCTGATGATGCCCCAATGACACTTATGGAGGTGGAGTTATGTATAGTTACGTAAGGTAGGCTCCAGGTGTTATCTAGCCCTAGTGGGCCCTAAGTTCTAACAATTCTACCAATTTACTAAGCATAACATGTCAACAATGCAAGCTTCTGCCTCACCAACCACTCAACTAAGAGCCTGAACTCTGCCTGGGGACTGAGCACTATCATCCAGTCACAGAGCCCATTTCCAGAGCATTTTGGCTTTCATTTTGCGATTAATGGAACTTTAGTAGCAGGAGTATATGGAATCCTTTGAGAAGCAAGATGTATAGCTTTGACTCAGAGGTCCACTCCTCTTCTTCCCTGACTGTAAGGAAAGGAATGGAATGACCTATTGAAACTTACTTTATTATTTGGAAGACGTGGGAGCAGCTATTTTCAGCAAATATAAAGACATTAAACAAGTGGAATGTGTCCCTGGCAGAAAAATTTGCAATAATTTCTCGAGTATAAATGCAGATGAATGAGGCTCTTTTGTATTCCAATTTACTTTTTGTGTTCACCTGTTTCTAATGTTTTACATTTATATTGGTGTGCTTCATTTGCTAGGGTATATGTCTTTCTTGTATATTGTTTTATTCTTTTAAAACTAATATGCTTGAAAGTTGGGGCACTGCTTATACAACTTACCACTCAACAGGGGTGTAAGCAGCTACTTACAGGTAAAGAACATCTGGAGGGTTGGAGAAGTGACAATCAGGTCTAAAGAAATGTGAAGTGAGGTATAGTTACCGAGGGTATGGAAAGAGAAATTGAGAAAGATAAGATAAAGAGGAAGTGGAAAAAAAAAAATATTGGGACATAAAAAGAGCAGGAGGAATTAATCAGGAGTTAAAAGGGGTAACAGAACAAATGTGTTGGTTACTCCAGCAATGAAGGAGACGGAGAGATATCTAGGAACTTGTCATCTCCTCCTCCCCCCCTTAAAAAACCCCCCACAATTCTTCATGTTTTTACATGTAGAGTGTACGTGTGCAAGTGTATACAATTTGGTGAAACTGTGTAAAATGGAGGCCAGCCAATAAGGTAACCCAGCAGTTTCAATGGATCAGGTGTCACTTTAACCCCTTAAGGACACATGACATGTGTGACATGTCATGATTTCCTTTTATTCCAGAAGTTTGGTCGTTAAGGGGTTAAAGAAGCAAAAATTAGAACACAGGTCATGGAGATCTTATGCTGAATTAAGCACGCAAACTATTTGAAGGTCCATAAACCTTTATTTTTGCCAACAAATGCCTGTGTTAGTAGAACTTAAGTATACCTATGATTAAATGTATTCCTGTGTTTGAAACATTAAGTATTGTACTTTTCTTCCTCTGATGTGATCCCATTTTTTCTTTTCTTTTTTGACAAAAATAAAGAATTTTGGGCCTTTGAATTAGCATGATTAATTATATATTTGATGACATGATAACTGTCTAGATACTGTCAGTGCTTTCCTGACATTCACAATGAGCCTCCCTTGCAATATTGGCATGTTCCAGGTAGCTGTTAGTTAATGTGATGCCCAGTACCTAGGGAGTTCATTGTAGTGACTCAGGATACTTTTAAGTAACCCTAGCTGCTTGATAACATTTCATAATGCAGTGGTGAGATGTGGGAGCATATCCATGCACCTGCTTCCTGTTTAAAGTGTAGCCTGCTGAGATGGAACAGAATGGAATCTATACTGCCAAGTGCAGAGAGCTCCTGTTCCTCCAGCTTTATAGACATCAGGAATAGGAAACTGTGGAGCACGTTGGGCATCAAGTAGAGGTATCATTCATTTACATTATGTATGTGCCTTTGTATGAGTGATATTGTGTGGCTTTGTAAGCGTGTGTCCTGTGTCTTGTTCATATGTGTGTGAGTGTATGTATGCTGTTGTGAATGTATGTCTTTGTCTGTAGGAGCATTTTTATGACATGAATGTGTCTAGACTGTGAGTCTGTGTATATATGAGTATATGTATTGTAAATTATGTAAGTGTAAGTGGTTAGTTATAAGTGCCTGTTTATGTGGTTAATAAAATGTATTTAGGTGACTAATTGTGTATTATAATTTGATGCAAATACACGGTAATATTTCATTGTGGGTTTCAATCGTGTGTAAATGCATGGTAGGATAGTGCATGTATTGCAAGTGTGGGTAAGAATACAGTGTTCTGTTTGTGTATTCCAAGTGTGCGACTCACGTCTTTCTTTCCAGTTACCTCACTCTGAATTCTACCTCTATGCACGCAATACTAGATTTCTTCCCACCTCCCATTTCTTTCTCTCTCATATCCCACTCAGAGTGTTTTTCAGCACCTCGTCATCCTTCTCGACACTTCCTGACCCCTTTTTCAGGAAAGGGCATGCACTGTTTGGTCTGGGAGGCAAAAAAATGTACCTTTTTGCAACCAAGTCAACCATAATTGAGGTGCTCTGTAGGAATATGAGGATCGAGACACTTTTTTTTGTATTGTGGTATGCTAAATATCGTGCTAGTACTGGATCAGACGTTATAGGAGGTGGGAACAGCCAGGGAGAGCATTCTACTCAGGAAGGGTGGGAGCGTCCCAGAAATGCTCTTATGCACAAGGCTGGAAGGTTGAAGAGTGAGTAGGGATTCCAACGATAGCCAGTTTAGCTCTTTTAACATGTCACAGTGGTGGGTAAAGTAATTACATTCTAGTGCAAAATCACAGAATGAATTATATAACGTATTGAGTTTATTAAGGTGGGTTTGCGATGCGGGTGCATACACTACATCCCCGTAATCAATGACCAGCATCAGCATTTGTTGCAGTATCTGTTTCCTTACTGTAAGGCTTTGTTTCTGTATAGGGCACCTAGTTTTGGGTAAAGTTTTGAAGAGATTTTTTCAATGTGACCAAAGGATAGATTGGGTTTACTAGTGTAGATTACAGTGTCATTTTTAAATTATTAAGATGTTTATTAACTACACTAACAGGCACAGGTCTAAAATTGAATTTCTCTGTAAGAGGATTTTGAAGATTTGGCAGGGCCTGATTTTTATTTCTGGTCTGAAAATGAGTGTTATTCGTTATCTTATCAACTAGGGTGGTAGCACATCCAATAAAGTAATTATTAAAGGCATTTGCTACATCTAGGGGGTGTTGAAGTGTTTGGTTGTCTATTTTGACAGTGGAAGGTTGGGAGTGGATTGTGGGGGTTTGTATGTAGTATATGACTTTCCAAATATTTCTTGGGTTTGATATGTCATTGTTCAAATTTTCCCTGAAATATTGGGCCTTTGCCACTTTTGTTTGTTTTGTACATGCATTTCGCCATTGTCTGTAGGCACAGTGATCATTCATGGAGCCAGAACTTTGACCACAGTAAATCTCTAAACTGGTACATTTGAATGAGGTCCACTATAATCCAGGGCAGGTGTGTCCCTTTTATTCGCACTTTATGCAGAGGTGCATGCAAACTGCAAACATGCAAGAGCTCGGACTGAAAAAATGCTATTGCAGAGTCTAGATCTGGGATTAGACTTAATATTTGCCATAGTATGTTCTTGAGATCTTATAAAAAGGTTTAAAGATTACATTTTTCTTGAATGACCTGGTGATTATAATCTTGGGGGGGGGGAGGTTTAGTGGCCTTTACTTTGTGTATGCAGTATACTAGACAGTGGTCACTGAAACTTTTAGGGAGAACACCCGCTTCCTGGATTCTGTCAGGAAAACTTGAGAGAATCCAATCTAGCAAGGTATGGTTCTGGCTTTTAATATTAAGGCAAGTTGGGGAGGATATGAATTGTGTTAGCTGCAAAGTCTTAAACATTGAACATGATTTATTATTTTTAGGATTTAGCCAATCAATGTTAATATCTCCAAAAACAAACAGTTCACTTTTTTGGTTTTGAGCTAAAGTTTCACTAAGTAGTTGGGCTATGTCAGAAAGAGAGTGTACCGGAGAGTTAGGTGGGCAGTAGATTCCAGCAACAATGATAGTTGTATGTTTCCACCTTTTCCAGAGCCTTCTCAATGCATGGGCAGGCCGGGCAGCGGCGTGGAGGCTCCACGTGCATAGGGGAACCAGCTTTTCAGTACAGTGTTCTGGGAAATGTATTCACAACCTACAAACTCTCTATATTAAAATGTTTAGGAGGACTTAGCCCCTCAGTATCAGCTGCTATGTGTACATGCAATCTTTTTTTTTGCGAATACATATCTTGACGTTGACGAAAACAATGTACAAGTACTAATTGTACATAAGCAAGACAACTGTAACCTTGATTTATTTTTAGTAACTATTTGGAATGCAAATTTGGAGGTATATTCAGAGCTTAGCGAATAAGTCCATGTAAGTTTGTTGCTATAAGTGAATTCACCTCCAACTAACCTTTAAGAATGTTCACATTATACAAGGCACAAAGTTACAAAGTTGGTAAAAAGTTATCTCTTCTCCAATTCCATTCGGTTATTGCTGCTTCCTGTAGACTTTAAGCTAGCTTGTTTGTCTTCTCTGATTTACTTAGTTTGTTCATGCACACATTGTAAGGTGTTGTACAGCGCAATGGAATCTGATGGCGCTATATAAAATAATAAATAATAATATGTTTATTTATGTATTACCTGCATTTATAATGCGCCAACATATGCAGCACTGTACAATTGGGCACAATAGAAATAAAAAAATAAAAAAATAGAAGCAAAACATTCTGGGATGCAGTTAAATTGTTCTATCAGTTATATTCTCTACCTTGCTAAGGTTTGTCTTGATGCCCATTATCACTTTAGATTGTAAGCTCACTGGCCATCTTCCATACCATTTTGTGTGAAAGTCCTACAAATGTTTCATTCCAACAGCGAACAGAGTTCTACACTCCTTTTAATCAGTATGTCTGTTTATATATTCCTCAGTCTATAATACCACATACAATTATTGCTAAATTTGTAGGTAAAAGTACTATGAAACGAACTAATTTAAAAAAAAAAAAAAATAGGTAATATTTAGTGAATAAATGCCTTAATTTCTTAATTCGCCATCATAAACTGTATGGCATGTTTATTAGCTGATATGTTTTTATAAGCTCAACCACAGGTTGTGCTTATAAAAAAAACACAATTTCTAAATGTTTTTATTAATTATGAACTACTTTTCATACACAGACTGATCGTCACACTCTATTCCCTAGCTACCTATGATTCCGCACTCAAGCACTGGTATATGGAAATTATCAGCTGTGCACTGCCACCTAGAGGATTACTATGATAGTGCACAATTGTATTTCGCCTTCATTCTATTTATCCCAAGTATCGCTGTTAAGGATTACTGTACAGATTTTAGGAATCACGGACGCTGAGCCACATACCCTAACCCCTTCCAAGAACTGCCAGATGATTAGTTCCTGCTGAAAGCCTGCTTGTTCCATTCCCAGTCTTTACCCCGTGTTACAGAACGAGTAATATGTACTGATTACTTATAGGGATTTGGGGTTCTAATTGGAGTTAGCACATTTAGTGCCAGCCTCGGTGTGAGTGCCAGTGATTAGCTAGATTTAACTTATTTGATTTCACGTGAGTCTTAAAATATATGGAAATACGAGTGATCTTATTGAATTGTGAAACAGTGCGGGATTTTTTTAGTCTTATCTAATACGGTATGTACTGTCACTACTTACCTGTGTCAACCCGAAGCTTTTAAACAATAAGAATGTAAATTGAAATAATTTAAATTAAAGACACACACACATACACCTCTTTAGCTAAATTAAAGACCAGAAGTGCATCAAATATAAACATTTAACATTTAATAAATACTATGATTTAATTTATGTGGCAAGCCACGAAATCTGCTTTTGCGAAAATGTAGGTCAAATTGTTTCTAAATCAGTGTTTACTGAATAAGACCCCCTCATTAACTCCTTTCCGGGAGAATAATATTAGCTATTTAAATAGGGGGTGGGAGGGGGAGGGGGCTTAACATATTAAGGGGAATTGATCTTCTTGATCACTGCATACCAAACTTGTAAATTGAACAAATTCCATCTACATATTATTATTATTATCATCACACTGTGTATTATAGATCTAAATATATAAGCACAGACTTTATGTTATTACCAATATTAGACTCCTGTACAAGTGGCACAACATATACATAGTGTCATATGGAGATACATGGGGAGAGGGATATACTGGAATGAGAATATTGGAAATTAAATTGCCTGGAATTAGAAAAAATATGCAAACATTTTAGGAAGAATAGTATGTGTCAGACAAAGAATTGTTTATTCATTAAAAAGTGAACCAGCTTTCAAAATCTAGACAAAAATAGTGATTAGATAAGAACCGCTTATTTTTCCTTTTATCCAAATCCGGTTTTGGTATATAAACAGGAGAGGGAGAGAGAGAGAGAGAGAGGGAGAGAGAGAGAGAGAGAGGGAGGGAGAGAGAGGGAGAGAGAGAGATGTATATCTACATCTATTTATCTATCTATATATCTCTATCTCTCTCGATTCACAGTATATGGACACACTATATATATATATATATATATACTGTAGTAAGTGTGTACAATATATTTAATATTATATTGTAATTTCTATGTTAATATGACTACAATGCAGGCAGTACACTCTACGGATTTAACTATTAGTTAGTGAAAGGACATTCTATATAAGGATATTAGCTGTGACTGTTGTCCTGTGTCCCTCTAGTTATCATGAATCTATGATAATATTTCCTGGGATGATATGCGTGTTAGGAGAAGTGTGTGTTATGCGATGATGTTGGGGTCCCAATACATTGCCCTGTTTGTCTCCTGCACAGCCCCCCATCATGGCATAGCCAGGCTCTGTGTTCTTCCTATTTCCTCAGTCACTGTTCGGACGGGAAGGAATGGTGTCGGGCTATCATCACTGCAATAATCTCTTACTAGCTGGGATCCTGCATTCACAAGCTCTGAGCCCTGCATGCACACTCTGTCTGAGACATGTTTGGAGATGGGAGATGCTGGGAAGGCATGTGTTTCCTGGAGGGGACATTGTTTGTAGCTCCGCTCAGCGGGGATGGCTGCTCTGATGTTAAAAAAAGACACTGAGTTAGAAAAAATAATAGATCTAATTCAATGGAATATTCACAGACACAGAAAGACAAGAGAGACAGAGAGATGGGGCAGGAGAGGAAAGAGAAGAAACGTGAGTAAGGAAAATGAGAAACGAGAAAGAAAGGGAGGACAAAGATTGAGAAAAAAGGAAGAAAGGGAGGCGCGGAGGGAGAGAGAAAATACAATAGAAGGATCAATACAAACTGATAAAACTGGGGGAGAGAAATCGGGAAAAATATGGGCACACAGTATTTATATATACATTATATGGATTCATAGTGTTTATATATACAGTATATGGATTCATAGTCTTTATATATACAGTATATGGATACATAGTGTTTGTATATACAGTATATGGACACACAGTATTTATATATACAGTATATAGACACACGGTATTTATATATACAGTATATGGATACATAGTGTTTGTATATACAGTATATGGGCACACGGTATTTATTTATACAGTATATGGATACACAGTGTTTGTATATACAGTATATGGATACATAGTGTTTGTATATACAGTATATGGATACATAGTGTTTATATATACAGTATATGGACACACAGTATTTAGATACAGTATATGGGCACACAGTATTTATATATACATTATATGGATACATAGTGTTTATATATACAGTATATGGACACAAAGTATTTATATATACAGTATATGGACACACAGTATTTATATATACATTATATGGATACATAGTTTATATATACAGTATATGGACACATAGTATTTAGATACAGTATATTGACACATAGTATTTATATATACATTATATGGATACATAGTGTTTATATATACAGTATATTGACACATAGTATTTATATATACATTATATGGATACATAGTGTTTATATATACAGTATATGGATACATAGTGTTTATATATACAGTATATGGATACATAGTATTTAGATACAGTATATGGGCACACAGTATTTATATATACAGTATATGGACACACAGTATTTATATATACATTATATGGATACATAGTGTTTGTATATACAGTATATGGACACACAGTATTTATATATACATTATATGGATACATAATGTTTATATATACAGTATATGGACACATAGTATTTAGATACAGTATATGGGCACACGGTATTTATATATCCAGTATATGGATACATAGTGTTTATATATACAGTATATGGACACATAGTATTTATATATACATTATATGGATACATAGTGTTTGTATATACAGTATATGAACACACAATATTTATATATACAGTATATGGATACATAGTATTTATATATACATTATATGGACACACAGTATTTATATATACAGTATATGGATACACAGTGTTTATATATACAGTATATGGATTCATAGTCTTTATATATACAGTATATGGATACATAGTGTTTGTATATACAGTATATGAACACACAGTATTTATATATACAGTATATGGATACATATTATATGGATACAGTATGTGGATATACATGTTATGGACACACAGTATCTGTATATACGATATATAAACAAACTATATGGATACACAGCATATGGATACATTATGTGGATATACAATATATGGACATAATATGTGGATCTACTGTATATGTACAAAGATAGAGTTATTTACTAAAGTGAGCACTGAAAGTTAATTCAATGTGAATTTTAAATTTAAAGCCTAAATATTTGAATTGGAAAGAATCACTAAGTCAGCTATGCTTCATGCTTGGCTACATGGGGCCTACAATTTGAATTCTTACTTTAGTAAATAACCATAACAGCATTTGGATATAAAGTATATGGATAGCGATTATATGGACACAATATGTAGATATACAGTATAATGGACACAGAGTTTGTGAATATACTATATGTGAATGGGACACACAATCAGTGCTATTCAGTATAGTGAGATTTCAAAGTGAATTTTAAATTTAAGGTGACACTATCTGAACTGGAAAAATTCTCCAAGTGAGCTATGTTTTCAGTTTGACATATTTATATTACATTTTTTAAATTTGAAATTCACTTTGTATTCTCACTTTAGTCATTACCATGAATGTAAATCTACATATATAGCACATGGATACAATGGATTTGGACACACAGTATGTGGATATACAGTATATGGACACACATAATGTAGGTGCACAGTACATGTCAATACGTTCAGGAGGATTAACGAAACATGAAGGGTGCTCCACTAAAGTCTTTGTACAAGGGATCCATTTCTGTAAACACGATCTCAGCCTTACTAGGTGGTGGGTCAGACAGTTTCATTGCTTCAGTACAGATATTATACTCCATGGTTCTCAGTTATGGGTACTTGCATTAAGTAAGTTTTAGGAGCGGAATGCTTTGTAAACTTCACTACTTAATCTAACTGTCTTTTTTTTTTCTTTTAGACCTTGAAATGTTAATTTTTCGTCTAAAGTGTAAAATATCAAAAAATCGAATCACCACTCCCAATCTTCAGTAGTTCTGGGAATTGGCGAGCGTTGCCCTTTAAATGTCTAATTGTCCATTAGTCAGTTCTGGTGGACAGTGTAGTAAGGGACCGAGTGGGGGTGAAATTTATCTCAAGGATGAGCGAGTAGGAAACATTCAATCCTTGCTATTATTCAGCAAAACCTATGTGGTTTATTCCTTTAACAGCTTGATGTAACAATATGAAAGCAACAACTTGTACAGTGTGTGAAGACATTTTCCAGTTCTGAGATATTGGTATTTATTTTCCAAGCCCATTCTTTATTTAGCTCAATTCACTGTTCAGTGCCCATATTGCCCCCTCCCCTAAGATTCAGTGCCAGAGATTGCCAAACTATGACAGACAATTGTTAAATCCCATTGCCCTGCTGGTCCAAAAAGTTTTGATTTAGAACACTAAAAACGAATTTAAATGGCATCTGGGTCACTGGTTATCCAGTATAAACTATCAGACACACAGGGCAGCACTCCTGCTGTGCTAATGCATATCCAAACAGTGGGATTCATTCACTAAAAAGCGAGTCCAGCTGAGTGGAGAATCAATTTGTAAACATAGGAGAAAAAATAATTTCAAAAATATACACCTGCCTAAATATTATTTCTCATTATTCAATCAATGCATCCCTCAGTAAAAATAAGAAACATGTATACATCAATTTACCTAAGTCACAGTTATTTGTCAATGTAGATCTTACTATTTGTTTACAGTTTTTAGATTTCTACTGATGGAATTTGTTTAACAGTATGTGGGGTAGAGTTCGACACAATTACTCCAGCACCTACAAAACTTCAAAATCACATCAGATTTTTCCAAAAGTCGGTTTATTTTCTCTCCAATTTCCTGAGCAGGCCCTCAGTGTACATCCATTATACAATATAGTCAGAGGAAGCAATAAGGCAAATCATATGTGCAAAATGCCATATAGGCTAATTCTACGCAATATACACTGTTTAAATATTGTGGTTTGGTATTTGTGAGCTAGTTCTGTACAATGATTAAATTGTATTCTCTACATAATATAATTGTTAATTGTAGTACATGATCTGTTTATGTACAATAAATAGGTATAATGTACATAACGTAGATGAGGTATTTTATTTAAAAAATCTAAATAATAACTGGTTATTAAATAAGGGGCAATTGAACGTGTCTACTCTCCAATTATATGGCAATAATGCTATCACATAACTACAAAAAAACACAATTTATGAGTGAAATGTTGTCAGTAAGGTGTACTGTGAAATATTATCAGGGATATATAGATATATATTTATATATAATTTGTATGATATACATGGTACCAATAGACACTTTATATGTGCTACATAGTTGTAAACGTATTATGAAATATTAATAACAAATAATGTTTTTATAGGTTACAGTTATATATGTATTGTTTATAAAAAGAAACACGATATGTATATTTAATATACAGTAGTTTGGGTCATATTTACCAGTAAGCTCATGTTATATATAATACATATTATTTCACATCTGCTGGAATTTTAATAATAATAATAATAATAATATGTAGAATGAGTTTACAGAACTGTTCACTGTTGATTTATTTTCCAATTCGAGACATAGTTTAATGGCAACACGTTTTATTACTAAAGTGATCTTTTCCCCTCAAGTACAATAAGGTAAGTTGGTTTATATCATGCCATACCTGGCCCTTGAAGAGTTAAACAGTTCACGTGTGCCACTGTCAGTGAATGACAATTAGAATGTTTGTCACTGTCATTGACTAACAATTAGAATGTTTGCCACAGTCATGGAACGCTGTGCACGTTCTGCTAGCAGTCTATCTGTAAGGAAGTCCAGGCAGGCGTGTGTGTAAGCGGCTTATGGATGGCTTATCACATTTTCCTGACAGCTGTTAGAGACTTGAACTTCCCACAAGGTTACCTGTATGTGTGTTCCACTGCTGGATATTCTGCAGATATGTTTGTCTAATGGCACAGATCCCCTTGCACTAAGACACCTCATTTTTTATTTCCTGATTGCAACCTGACAACTGCCTTTTATGTAAACTGTTCACTCACAACCAGACAAAAAAAAAAAGAGAAGTCCTATGTCCCACAAGTAGCCAGACTACAAGGCAGTGATGGGCAAACTTGGCGTTGCAGATATTTGAACTACATTTTCTAGAGACTGACTTGACATCATGGAGAATGTAGTTCAAACACAAAGTCGGTTATCTTTACAACAAGGGCAACACATGGATTTATTCACTTAAATCCGAAAATGGAGAATTAACAAGGAATTTCCACATTTATTGCACATAAGACAGAAATATCCAAATTTGGAACTTTATTTCAACTTAACTAATTTTATAACTATTTGGTCTGAAATGTCGTTGCTATGTTATGCAGTTACTGGTTTAGAAAATAAATCAAATCGTTGTTATAATAATAAGATATAATAATATTCCAGAACTGAATTATTTCTACAGTATAAAAAGCAAACTATCAGGAAGAAAATGCTAGGAGTAATTGTTTTGGGGTTTTTGTTTTTGTTTATTTAAATTTTTGTAAATTTTTTTAATTATTATTATTATTTTTTTTTACTATTCACTACTTTTATTACATTTATACAACATGTATAATGCAAATACACCACATACCACTGGGTAGCCCTAAACAAAATGAATATTTTGCTGTGCTGTAGTGTAAAAACACAGACGGGTTCATGAAAGCCATTTTCCTGTGCAGTTTTCCCTCTCAGACCTCCCTTGCCTTCTGATGATTTAATCTGTCAAGTCTACAAATCCTTGGGTTTCCTGTGTCAATAGCTGCACAGGATTTTTCCTTAAGACCAGCAAAGACCAACTTTAATGGCAGCATTCAGCACAGATCGGCCTCATAAAGATTGTAATGCTGTTGCAAGAGTGTTTATAGAAATTGAAATCTATAGAAATAAACAGTAGGACAGCCAGGTGGGGGTTGTGGGTGTCCAACAATACAAAAGGCTGGTGACTTTTTGGGGGAATTTTAGACATCTCCCAGATAGTCCTAGGAAAAAGACAGTTTTATTGCTGTTGGAATTATTTAGCTGTTACAATGTAACTTTGAGAAGATCCACTAGAGAAGTAACACACTTTATTATAGCTTAATCCTGAAATATTTCATTTTTGGAATGTAATTGTCAAACAATTGTAAAGACAGAGGAGCCATAGCAAGGGGGAAGGACAGACGTTCGCCATATGAAGTGACATTAGTCAGTGCATTGGATGCCTGGAAAGTGATCTGTCACTTCTACAAGATCTATACTTACCAGTGTAGGGTGGGATTAGGCCCATACAGAGCTGTGAAGTTAATAACTAGCCGAGGATGCAGAATGAACTCATGCAGGCTGCAGCTGATTCCACATGGAGAAAGGGAGAGATTGTGTTTGTTAAGAGCATAGAAAATGAAACCGCAATAACAAAGAGATTTGCCTTAACAGAATAATGATTACAGAAGAGCATTTCAAGGAACCAAAAGCTGGCAAGGCTTCCACATCGCTATTTCATGGGAAGTCAAACAATTTACTGTGCCAAACAAGGGATCAGCTGCATTACACGAAGGAATGCTTTATATTCCCTCCTCGGAGTCAATAAGTACTGAGTGAGTTAACCCCTTCCTCTCCTGTATTATCTGTAACACATTGGAACAGGCCACCCACTCTGAGTGTAGTAGGATGTTCATTGACCCAAGTGGGGAATCATTTACCCATAACAAGGTAGGCCTGGTACCCCTCCTATACCAAATACACTCAGTGGAAACAAATGCAGATGGGGTGACTCCCCCAAATCTGACTAAAATTACTAATGAATCTCAGAAAGGTTGGACATTCCACCCCCCTCTCCCTTCAATACCCCCAAACCTGATAATTTTAGTGAACATTAGTAGCATACCAACACGCCGCTTAGTGAATAAACACTTATTTCTGTTGCTTGCTTCATCATTTCTGCAATGGCCGTGTGTTTGAAATATATGATTTAATGAGTCCAGATCAGCTTGTTAGTAGTGAATCACTTGTCAGGCTTAGATTTATGAGGTTTTTCTTGTTTATTCCATTTTATCCTGGACTAACCCAGTATTAGCAGCAATCACTGCTCAGCATTCTGTAATCAGGATAAAAGGATCGCAGCTTACTGAATAGTGATATTCATCTAGACTGGAAGGGATAACAGCCACTCAGTTACCATGGTTACGGTTATACCTGGTTCTACAATCTGTCCCAGGCCTGTTTGTTTAATTTACTAACAAACACAACGTAGACAGATAAGCAGATTTATACTTTTTTGAGATATATCAACTTTTTCAGACTTTGTGAAAAATCTGATTATTTTTAAGTCTATTAATAGAAAAATAACTATTATACAGAGTGTCAGTGAATGTGTCCCCAGCCCGGCGCTCGGTATATTAATAACATTTACTCTGGATGGCTGTGGTGTCAGGATATTAAGATGGCGGTTGTTTTCCTGTCTGATACAATAAGCCAGTCTCGGTGTGTTGTATAGAGTTGGGTGCTCTGGAGGAAGCTGTCGACGCCTGTTCGGTTAATTTAGGTTTTCTTTGTCTAATTACTGTGAGCTTTGGGAGAAGGAGCCGAGCTCAGGGCGGTAAGCTGACACTCGGGCTCTGTGTGTGGTATCCAGCCAGAGCTTGATGGAAAAAGTCTGCATCCACTCAACTGCAGGTCACTGACTGAGACCCCTCTACTACCCACCAGCAAGGAGCACACATCATACACAATATTCACAGCTACATCATCTTTTCTTTACCACACTATCCCTGCTACAGACTACACAAGCCAGCAAGAGCCACACTATCCCTGCTACAGACTACAAAACCTACCCAAACTATCCCTGCTACAGACTACAAAACCTACCCACACTATCCCTGCTACAGACTACAAAACCTACCCACACTATCCCTGCTACAGACTACAAAACCTACCCACACTATCCCTGCTACAGACTACAAAACCCAGTCAGAGCCACACTATCCCCGCTACAGACTACAAAACGCAGTCAGAGCCACACTATCCCCTGCTACAGACTACAAAACCCAGCCAGAGCCACACCTGTCCCCTGCTGGCTAGACTACAAAACCCAGTCAGGAGCCACACTATCCCTGCTACAGACTACAAAACCTACCCAAACTATCCCTGCTACAGACTACAAAACCCAGTCAGAGCCACACTATCCCCGCTACAGACTACAAAACGCAGTCAGAGCCACACTATCCCTGCTACAGACTACAAAACCTACCCACACTATCCCTGCTACAGACTACAAAACCTACCCACACTATCCCTGCTACAGACTACAAAACCTACCCACACTATCCCTGCTACAGACTACACAACCCAGTCAGAGCCACACTATCCCTGCTACAGACTACACAACCCAGTCAGAGCCACACTATCCCTGCTACAGACTACACAACCCAGTCAGAGCCACACTATCCCTGCTACAGACTACACAACCCAGTCAGAGCCACACTATTCCTGCTACAGACTACACAACCCAGTCAGAGCCACACTATCCCTGCTACAGACTACAAAACCCAGTCAGAGCCACACTATCCCTGCTACAGACTACAAAACCCAGTCAGAGCCACACTATCCCTGCTACAGACTACAAAATCCAGTCAGAGCCATACTATCCCTGCTACAGACTACAAAACCTACCCACACTATCCCTGCTACAGACTACAAAACCTACCCACACTATCCCTGCTACAGATTACAAAACCTACCCACACTATCCCTGCTACAGACTACACAACCCAGCAAGAGCCACACTATCCCTGCTACAGACTACACAATCCAGCCAAAGTCATACTACCACTGCTATAGACTACATAACTCAGCCAGAGTAGCACTGCCCCTGCTACAGACTACACAACAATAGTAATCCAATACTACCATACTGTTCTAGGCTCGGCTGTGTGGTATTATCATATTACTGGATAGCGTCATATTACTCGACAGTCTGGTATTATTACTATTACAGTATTATATAACTGGGTATATATTGCCTGTGTTAGTGTACACAGCAGGCTGGTATTATTACTATTACAGTATTATATAACTGGGTATATATTGCCTGTGTTAGTGTACACAGCAGGCTGGTATTATTACTATTACTGTGTTAGTGTACACAGCAGGATGGTATTATTACTATTACAGTATTATATAACTGGGTATATATTAGATGTGTTAGTGTACTCAGCAGGCTGGTATTATTATTATTAGTAGTAGTAGTAGTAGTAGTAGTATATAATTGGCTATATATCACTTGTGTTACAGTACTCAGCAGTCAATTATTACTATTATATTTTTGTATACAGTATCACTTGCATGTTACTGTACCTGTCATAATGCTATTATTAATCCATTACTGTAGATAATATCACTGTCATATTATGTTCTATCAGTCCTTTGTGTAAAAATTATATGATTGTGAATAGAATGCAAGCCCAGCTGTCCAGCTGCCCACCTCTTCACTGACAGTGAAAGCCCAGCTCGCCCAAATGCACAGTTGCTTGCACCTGTTTTCACAATGGGCAGAATTTCATTATCACTCCCAAAATATAAAACTCTTGTATAGTTCCAAGCAGTTTAATCATGTGTGCTGCTTTTATTGAGATTTTCCAATCAATGTCCAACCGCAGCCGCTCATATCCTCTAGCTAAGCCTGTAAGTGCATCCAGACTGAGGATTCTTAAAGTATTACACCATTCATGTGTTAGTCTACTCCCCCAGAACCCAAGCTTTTCCTTATGCAGGCATCATATCTCATTCCAAGAAGCTGTACTGCATTGTGAGCCCTGTATTTATTAAATATCAGAGAAGCAATATTCTTTTTTACTTACCTATTCTCCAATATCTCTTTTCTCTATATTTTCTTTAGAGTGGACAAAAATGTGACAATACAGTTTGTCTACATCCTCCATTGACCCCCATACTAGCAGAGATCAGTTGCAACAGCAAGGCTGTTCAGTCCATGAGTAATATTTTGATTATTAATGTCTACACTTTTTACCAGTTGTACAATCGGGGTTATTCATTATAGTGAGAATTCAAGGTGAATTCAAAGTGAATTTCAAATTTAAAGTGAAAATATCCAAACTGACACAATTCTCAGTCAGCTATGCTTTCAGTACAGCTCTTCTCGCCTTAAAGGGACACTATAGTCACCCAGACCACTTCATCTCAGTGAAGGACACAGTGCTGTGTCCCTGTACTTTTAACCCTGCAATGTAAAGCAAATTTTTAGAAGCTGCAATTTACATTACAGTATTTAGTCCACCTTGAGGGGCTGTCAGTAAAGCCGTGTCATAGAAGCCCCCCATAGGAAAGATTTGGCTCGATGCTTTCCTGTAAGAAGTTTGAAAGCACGCACAGGGCTCGCCGTGCATGCACATTAGGTCCTCAACATGACATTGTGAAAAGAGATAAGTAAAACTTTATTTTTAAAATTTATACTGTAAATTGGGAGTGGAGGAAATCTATGTAATGCTAGGGACATAATAGCGTTAGGAAAACAAACCTGTATTCCTAACGATATGTTGTTCCTTTAAATTTGAAATTCACTTTAAATTCACTAGGAATTTTCACAATCTATCATAATCTAAAATAATGTAGATATCCAATAGGTATCAAATAATTCCCAAATGTATTCTTACAAGTCATGCATGTATGTCTCTTGTTTGGCCCTGTGGTTCACCAAACTGTCCCCAAGGCAGACCTATATTCCTTTACTTAGGCATTTCTCATTTTGAGTACTGATCAAACCCGGGCCAGCAACATGTCTTGATTTTGGGATTCCTGGGATATACTATGTCATCCTTGTCTCTGAGTGCCCTTAATTAATAACTGTATATTATGGAAAGTTATAAAAATTGAATAATAGAAATAATGGAAAGTTATCAAAATCAAATTTATATTTTTTATATCCTAATTTCCTTTGGAAATTATGTTTAAATAGTTGGTCGTGTCCCACCTGTGTTGCAATATGTTAATATTCCAGCCAAGGTGAATACAAATTTTGATTATTACACAATACAATGAATTAAAATTAAACAGACACTCTAAGCACCAAATTAAGTAATTTTAGGGTATAGCTGTGTTCTCTGCAGCCCTGCAAAGGAAAAAAACAGTTTACATTTTGCAGTGTAATTTTTTCAGACAGACAGCCACAAGGGTCTTTGAAGTAAAACAAATGTAATGATTCAATCTGTGATACGTCCACCATCGTTATGCAAGGAACGAGGACATCAGATGCTGTGTGCGTCCATTTCTTCACAATAAGAAGTATTTGATTCATTGCTTCTCATAAAGAAACATTG